GTGGGTCATTAATGATTATATTTTTTTGGTGGTGTGTGGTAGCAGGAGCACATCAAATATGTGATTCTGGTGGTAATAAGTACTTTCCGAATTGCATACATTTCATGGTAAAATGGGTTTTTATTTTTTTAAATATTCAGAACGCAACTAAGCCTTTAGATTTTTTTACAGAGCAAAATGATTTGCAAACTTTTAACATTTGTACTCGTGGTTATTAAATCGCGCCAATTCACCAAGGCATCATACCGATAATCTACACATTTCTATATAAACTGAATAGTGTTACTACATATACTCGATTTTACATTGCAATGAAACGTCTGCCAACACGTGCAACAATTAGAACATAGATCTACCAAGTATTGATCATATCTTCTGGGTTATCGCATCTCCGATCCTACATGGGCTTCCTCGGGTAACACGCTTAGTGTCGCCTACATATACGTTGGTCGAATACACATAGCGCGTTCCCTGACAAATTCTATGAGACTCGAAGGCAGCTGTAGCCTGTTCTCGTATGCAACGCTGTGTCTGACGATAACGCGCGCGCAGTGGCACTTTAGCGAATGATACTGCGTGTTCATTCTGCCATGTATCTCGTCGCTCAACTCCACGTTGCCGCGGAAACGCGTCGGGTTAATCCGGCACCAGAGTTTGTACGGCGTCTCTCCCCGTGCGTTCACCACGCCGACGTGTGCACCGTGGTTGAACAGCAGCGCGTGCACTATCTGCACGCACCCCTCCCTCTCTCGCGCGTAAACATCGTCTTTGCATGCGAGCATCATCCTACAGAAGCTGTGCAGCGGGGTGTCGCCCTCGCTGTCGCGTGTGTTAACCTGTAGAAGTACGCCGGCGGACTCGCACGTCTGTAGGAGAGCTAACGCCGCTTGTACTCCTCGCTCACTCATCATGCGGCTTCTCACCTCGCTGACTATTATAGCGAGCGGCGTCCTCTTGTTACAATCGACGAGGTTCAGGTCAGCTCCGTGTTTCAAGAGAAGAGTAATCATCTGTGTGAACGAAAGAAACGAAAATCGTTAACAACCCGATTTTAGGTTCGTTCCTTAAAGAACAAGTTTCTACAAGGAAAAAAGCATACTACTTTTATTTACTGTTGCCGATTACTAACTATTAATATTATTAAATTATTAACTATTAACCGATTACTATTACTGATTACCTTTATTATCTAGACAAAAATACATTGGAACATCGCTGAAATTGTCTCCTTCATTCACAACGCACGCCCGCAGTTTCACCTCGGTCCCGAGTAGATTGCAGGAGTAGTGTAATGCGGTGAAACTATTTAACATATCTATTATTAACTGTTAACCGATTACTATTACTGATTACCTTTACCATCTATAAGAAAATACATTAGGACATTGCTAAAATTCGGTCTCAATCATTCGCAACGTACGCCCGTAGTTTTACCTCGATATGAAGTCGATCACAGGAGAAGTGTAACGCGGTGAAACTCCCTCCTTTTTCCGTCGCGGCAACGTTGGGGTCGGCGCCTGCCTCCAGTAGCATGCGCATGATGTCCAGCTGGCCAGCCCTGCGAGAAAGAGCCGCCATGTGCAGGGAGGTCTGTCCGTACGATTCCGCGGCGTTGGCGTCAGCGCCGTGTGAGAGCAGCATCCGCACCACCGCCTCCTCGCCCTTATTCACCGCCATCATCATGGGCGTCTCCCCGCTCGTATCGGCGACGTTGGGGTCGGCACCGGCCTCCAGTAGCAGACGCATGATGTCCAGCCGGCCAGAGCGAGCCGCGTCGTACAGGGAGGTCCATCCGTACGAGTCCGCGGCGTTGGCGTCAGCGCCGTGTGAGAGCAGCATCCGCACCGCCGCCTCCTTGCCCTCCCTCACCGCCATCATCAGCGGCGTATCCCTGCTGTCCGTATCAGCGACGTTGGGGTCAGCGCCGGCCTCCAGTAGCAAGCGCATGATGTCTAGCCTGCCAGAGCAAGTCTCGAGGTACTGGTATATGCTGGCCTGTCTGTCCAAGTAGTCGCCGTCGTGTGTGAGCTTATTCACCCGCTCATGCGCCTCCTCGCACTTCCTCATCACCTTCATCAGCGGCGTCTCCCCGCTCTTCGTCGTGGTGACGTTGGGGTCGGCGCCGGCCTCCAGTAGCAGGCGAACGATGTCCAGCCAGCCAAAGCAAGCCGCGTGGTGCAGGGAGGTATCTCCGTACGAGTTCGTGACGTTGGGGTCGGCGCCGTGTGAGAGCAGCATCCGCACCATCGCCTCATCGCCCCGACTCACTGCCATCATCAGCAGCATCACCCTGCTCTTCGTCATGGCGACGTTGGGGTCGGCGCCGGCCTCCAGTAGCAGGCGCACGATGTCCAGCTGGTCAGAGCAAGCCGCCATGTGCAGGGAGGTCTGTCCTTGCGAGCTCGCAACGTTGGCGTCAGCGCCGTGTGAGAGCAGCATCCGCGCCACCGCCTCCTTGCCCTTCCTCACCGCCATCATCAGCAGCGTCTCTCCACTCTTCGTCATGGCGACGTTGGGGTCGGCGCCGGCCTCCAGTAGCAGGCGCACGATGTCCAGCCGGCCAAAGCGAGCCGCGTGGTACAGGGAGGTTCGTCCGTACGAGTCCGCGGCGTTTGGATCCGCGCCGGCCTCCAGTAGCAGGCGCATGATGGCCAGCTGGCCAGAGCAAGCCGGCGACAGGACCCGCGCGTTTCCGCTGGCCACGGCTGCGTGCAGCATCGTTCCGTCGACACGGTAACGCGAGCGGAGGTCCGCTCCATTGTCTAGCAGCACGGCTGCAACATCCGCGCAAGCTGTTTCGCAGGCGAGCATGAGAGGCGTTCGCCCGCGCTCATCCTTCTCTTGCAGGGGCGCATCATGCAGCAGCAGCTGTTTCACAATCTCCATCTTCTCTTCATTCCTGTCCCATGAAAGTGCGCAGGCGACGTGGAGAGGCGTCTCCATGCGTACGTTCACGCACGATGTGTTCGCTCCACCTCGCAGAAGTTCTAACACTTTCTCAACGTCCCCACGTGAACAGGCAGCATGCAGGTCTGACATTCTTCTCCCAACTGTAGGCACGCACTGTGCGTCGTTCGGTTGCAGGAGGGTCCAGTGCAGTCACCTACCTAAAATGCACACTGATGTTCACAAAGGCATGTAGAGTTGATTGCGATGTTAATATAGTGCATGACAAATCGAAAACAGCTTTGTTCTCCACGTATTCACATTTTCGGTAATGCAGTGTCCAACAGATCGCTGAAAAAGGTTATTTTCCTAATAGCACAAAAGCTGAAGTCCAAGGCCAGGAAGCAAATCGGAAACAAATAAAGTGATTAAGCCTGGAGGATTGCCAAAGCATGGACACATCCACTTAAATATGCCTGGGGACCACCGCTTCCCAATGCTCCACCCGCTTTGCCAAGTGCAACGCGCAACTCAGTAGCTAAACCTGCGCTGAAGCGTAAAGGTGGTAAGACAAAAATTAACCAGTGCAGTCCTGAACTGTTTTGAACGGAATAGTGGAATAGGAGAAAGTGTAGAAAANGCGCCGTCGTGTGTGTGTGTGTGTGTGTGTGTGTGTGTGTGTGTGTGTGTGTGTCTGCGTGAGCGCGCGCGTGTGTGTATGTGTGTTAGCAAGATGAAGATATCTCTAGCAAAATTGGAAAATGCTGTAAAACCTAAACGGATTTTCCACAAAAAACTGTCTCGGGGGAAATCTGTAACAAAGCTGTACTAAAACCCAAAGACACGTGGCGCCTATCAATTTCTATAGCTTAGAAAATCTTTAAACTTGGTCATGATAAGAAATGTGTGTATCGAAAGAACCTTCCTATGTTGTTTTCGGGTTACACAGGCTTATGTATAGCTCAGTGGGTGGGAGCACACGAACGCTCCCCAGCGGCCTGTCCGTATATAATCCGCTAGTAGGACCCCACAGCCAAACCTGCTCGATTTTTTATCGTTGCAACAACATTGAGTGCCGTGAGCCGCAGCACAGGCAACCACAACTGACAAGGTAGGTATATAATTATAACTAGCGGTCATTCATAAAGGAGAATTTACAAAGTTTTTTGTCAAGGCAGTTTCGAAAATCTAAGTATTTGTCGACAAATCTTGAATATAAAACTAGTAAAGTTGAATAGGCCATGTACTGAGCCTACTTCATCACTGGGCAGGGCGTGTTAGTTTTTTCCGCTTGTCCTGAATAATCAAGAATGTTATATTGCAATTTGTGTGCGCGCGCCTGTGTAATAGGTCCTCGACATTGCACGTGCTCAATTACTCAATCACTGAGAGATGATTAACTGATCAATGAGTGCACAATATAGTTAGGCTCAACCAATGTTTGAATTTCGTGTAACGACGTAAACAGAGAAAGAACACATAGCAAACTACGGCAGCTACTATAATGTGAACGATGTAGCGAGTTCGGACGCATATATGCAGGAAGGTGGCAATCGAAGAAAAACATGTAAACCTGCAATTCAAAATTAAGGAAAAATACTTGAAATGTAATAATGCCCGGTAGTAGTCTGTATTCAACACAATTCGTCAATTCCTTTAGGCCGCCAATGAGCGCGAGGTCTGCGTATCACAGTTATTCGGCCCGACTAAGATTCTAGCACTGAATTTATTATAGAATCTCTTCAATTTCACTGGATCAATTGCAGCATGATAAGCTGACATAATAGGCGTGTTCACACACAAGAAAAACCGCGATGCTAATCGCGATGGAAATACCGAGATAATTATGCCATTGTTCACACAGGCGGAAATATCTCGCTAATCGCCGAGCGGGATAATTCTATTAATCGAACTGCGCATGCCTGATACCGGAGAGACCGGGTACAAGATGGCGTTGCGCAAAAGATGCGTTGTTCCCCGACCGCCAAGAGCGGTTAAACCGCGCACTTCCGCGGGACTGGGCGCACGCGACCGCGGTGTGTTGTATGTAGCATTTCGCGCTGCCCGCTATACGAATTCGCGCGCCGAAGGAGGGCGGGCACGCAAATCCGTATAGCGGGAATCGTAACATCGCGCAGTTTTCGTCACACCTACACCG